CCTTCCTATGACACATTATATCAAGAGATGAAGTGTCGATGAACTCCGAAAAAGTTGATGCAGTGCTCGACTGGAAAAAATTGACATCGGTCAAAGAGATTCATAGTTTTATAGGGATGACAAGTTATTACCGCAGGTTTATGGAATGATTTTCTAGCCTAGCTGCTCTTTTGACTTGGCTCACAAAGAATAACATCAAGTTTGAGTGGAACGAGAACTGTTAAAGGAGTTTTTCAAAACTAAATAAGTGGTTGACTATTGCACCTGTGTTGGCCTTACCGAGCAGGACAGGTGGATATACAGTTTATAGTGATGTCTCATACCCGGGATTGAGTTGTGTTTTGATGCAGCATGAGAAGGTCATATCCTATGGGTCCAGGAAGTTGAAGAGTTATGAGAAAAATTACTTCACCCATGACTTAGAACTTGCCGCGATTATCCGCGTCTTGAAGACTTGGCGTCATTACTTGTATAGAGAGACATTTCATATCTATACTGACCATTAGAGCTTGAAACACATATTCACTCAAAAATATCTCAACATGCGTCAGAGAAGATGGATATAACTCTTCAATGACTACGATTACAACATCTTGTATCACCTAGATAAATGCAATGTAGTAGCCGACACACTTAGCAAAAAAAGCGCATGTATATTAGCTCACCTAATTATTTCAAAATATAAAGTGATAGGGGCCGCACAACAGGTACGATTTCAAGACTTGAAGAGAGTTACATATTTTGTCCACCTGACTGTTCAACCTGAATTGATCTAGAGAATAAAAGAAGTTCAATCCACCGATTCCACCCTAGCAACCCTCAAGAAAGATACATAATAGGGAGTAAATTCATATTTTTGATTCCTTGCCAATGGGTTGCTTAGATTTCAAGACATGATGTGTGTTCCATGTGACAGTGAATTGAAAAAAGATACCATGACAGAGACTCATAGCTCAGAGTTTGTCATGCATCTCGAAAATAATAAGATATATCAAAGTATGCGACTCCGATTTTGATAGAACGAGATGAAAATAGAGGTGGTCGACTTTGTTTCCAAGTGTTTTGTATGTCAGAAAGTCAAGACAGAACATCAACATCCAGACGGACTACTTCAGTTATTACCAATTCCAGAGTGGAAGTGAGAACACATCACAAACAAATTTTATGACATGATTGTCTAGGACACACTCAAGACATTATGCCATTTGGGTAATTGTTGACCGACTCACCAAGTCTTCCCACTTTTTGGCCATCAAGATAACTGACTCCTTGAACAAGTTAACAAAAATGTATATCCAGGAGATAGTCAGGTTATATGGAGTGCTAGTGACAGTAGTGTTCGACAGGGACTCCAAGTTCATTTCTCGATTCTGGTCTAGTTTTCAGCAAACCATGGGAGCGAAACTGTCCCTTAGTACTGCATTCCACCCTCAGACCGATGGACAATCAGAAAGGACAATCCGCACACTAGAGGATATGCTCTGAGCTTGTGTTCTTAACTTCGGGGGCCATTGGGATGATCACTTATCCTTAATAGAGTTCGCCTACAATAACAATTACAAATAAAGTATCAGCATGGCTCCGTACGATGCATTATATGGTCGCCCATGCGGATCACCGATATGTTAGGAAGAGGTGAGTAATAGAAAATTATTCCTCTCAGATCTTGTGAATGAGACTACAACCAAAATAGTTAAGAATATGATGAATATCCAGATGACTCAGAGCAAGCAGAAGAGTTATGCGGACACCCGGAGGAGGGATTTAGAATTTGAGAAATATGATCGAATGTTCTTTAAAGTCACTCATTTCAAGGGAATCAATAAGTTTAACAAGAGGAAAAAACTAATTTTTGATTCATTGGGCTATTCAAAATCTTAGACAAAATTAGTACTGCCGTTTATAAACTGACACTACCTCTAAAACTATATAGAGTCCATAATGTGTTTCATATGTTCATGTTAGGCAAGTACAACATGGACACCTCTCATATCTTGGCCCACGAGCCCCTTTCACTCTAGGAGAATTTACCACATGAGGAGATACCGGTAGGTATTGTGAATCGAAATAGCAGAGTACTCCGCAATTGAGAAATTCCTTTTATTAAGGTTTTATGACAGAATCATACACACAGAGAGGCCACATGGGAGCTACAATCAGACTTTAGAGCCTAGTATTCCCAACTATTTAATTGAGAGAGAGAGATACAAATTTGAGAGACCAAATTTCTTTTAAGGGGGGAGAGTTGTAATACCCGGTCTCGAAATTTGGTGCGAGATTAATTTTAAAATTAAAAAATATATATAAATATAAATTTTAAATTTATACATTTTTATTTAATATAAAATTAAGAAAAATATAGGTGGATGATGAAATTAAAAATAATTTGAAAAAATTACACCACGTAGGATGCCCAGTCATAAGCCCCAACGAACTAGAGCGCACCGTGTGGTAAGGCACGCTGACTTGGTTCCATGCGGGAGGTCACACTGGCAATCCACGTGCCTGTGATCGGACGACCCGGATGCGTTCCCGCACGCGTGGACGGTCCGGATCCATTTCCTCCTCAAGCACGATCGGATGATCGCGATTAAACGTAATGAACGATCCAGATTTGTTCTCTCTTTAAACGCGATCTTACGGTCCAGATCAAATTGCGATGGACGGTGCAGATTCATTTTCTCTTTAAATGCGATCGGACGGTTGAGATTAAACGCGATAAACGGTCCAGATTTAAGGAAGACGAATATAAATATCTTACTTCATACTGAATTCAAACACTAACCGCCAGCCCCCCGCCGGAGAAGAAGAATCAACTGCTAGAGAATGGAGCCGACTGCTGCCCGTCGCCTCGCTGGAGCCACCTCCGACTGCCAAAAAAAGTAAAAATTCTCTTATTCGCTCGGAATTTGATTTTGGACACCTTCATGGCCAAATCAGAGCAAAAGAAAAGACGAATGAGCCAAAAACTGCAGTAAAGCCCAACAGCACTGTCGTAGGAAAAATCATAAATCGTTTTCGATGAGCCCCTTCTTGTTTCCTATTTCATACGATTTTTCTATCATTGTGTTCACCATTATGTTTTTTACAGGTTGACCAAAGAAAAACACCCAACCGCGAAGGTAGCCATCGCACTGGAAAATCCCACCACTGGTAAGTTTTTATTTTTCAATTTTTTCGACCAACCGAGACCCCTTAACGTGTTTTCTCGCAAGGATGGGTATAAAATTGATCGAAATCGACTAAAACTAGCCAAAAACGGCCAGTTCGAGGCAAACGCCACTGTGGACGGCAGCGCCATCGCCGTAGCACGGCGGTGCCGCCATGCCGGAATTTTGAAATTAGTTGGAAAAGATTTTTAACACCGATTTTGGATTTTTTGGAGATATTTTTAGATACATGAAGCGTGTTTTTACCTCCGTAGAAAAATTCAAGAAACTTGGGGACTGCTAGTAGACACAGTAGCAAGTTCAGTATTTCAGACACTGATTTGGGTAAAAATTCCTCACTTTATTCTCTGTTATAGAATTGAAATTTAATTATAAATACTACGGTATTTTGCATAATTTAGAAAACTTTGATAATTAATTATAGGTTACTAATGAAGTCGAAACTGGTTATTTATTACTGTTTATCATGTTTTAATTGATTTTTTTATTTTATAATTTTAAATGAATGATAATACACTGGAATTAGTAAGATGATTCAGTTGTGTTTTCTTAATACATGTATTGCTTGCCTTACGTAATTTACAGTTAAATTGTGAAACTGACAATTTAAAGTAAACGAGAAATTACTTGGTTAAATGAATTAATGAAATGGTTGTCTTACTAGATATCTTGTGAGATGGTGGACAGACCGGGTAAATAGCGAACCCTACCATGAACATTATCTCATACTGGACGGGGTATCAAGCAATGGTATTTTTGATGCTCATACCGGAAGGGATGTGGGGATGACCCCATTCACCCTCATACCGGACGAGATATTGAGGGATGGTACCTTTGGCGCTCATACCGAACAGAGTATGGAAACGACCCGATTCACCTTTATATCGGACAGGGTATTGAGGGAATGTACTTTTGGCACTCATGCCGGACGGGGTATGGGAACGGCCGGTTAGTTGACAAGTTTTGTTATGAGTTCACGTGTAGTGTGACATCCCTATGGATTCCTAGGGATACCAGTAAGCAAATAAAAAATAAAAGTTGTTGTTCTTACTAATTAAATATGAGATTATGATGTTGTTTGTGTTATTGCCTTTATAGGTCAGTTTTGAAAATTTCGCTACAGTAAGTATGCAATAAATAATTTTATTTATGATAAATAAATTTACTTAATTTAAAAGATCAATTAGTTATTTTATTGATTTTTACAAACTTTCATTTTTGTATCAGTGAGTAGTGTGATATTCTTACTGAGTTAGTGTAACTCACTCTTTCATTAACCATTTGAGATCAAGAGAACTAAGATCCAGATCCCGATCAACAAGGGGATTGTGAATAGTTCACCACCCGAACTCCCTTCAAAAGTCAGTGAAGGTCGTCATAGGATAACTAATTGTTTACTTTTCATTTATTTATCAATTTTTCGTTTGTTATTTTAGAATGGTCATTCTCGTAACCATATTGAGTATTCTAAATTGTTGTGTAAGGAATGTAAACCCTAATTCTATTATTTTGGTTCCGCATTAAATTTATAATTTATTTTCTTTTAAGTTCCGGACCGTTACATGATCTCAATCGGTTCAATTGTTAGAAAAAAATATAAGTCTAGTCAGATATGTATTTAATTAAGTATGTTTTAGCTCTTATTCAAATGTGATTAACTATATAAATTTTATTTTAAAGTTTTTGATGAGGTACGAGATTCTTAATCTTTAAAATTCATGTTTTAATTGGATAATTACTATTTTAATCTTTTTTGCTAATTTTTTTTTTTTTTGAAAAAATCCTTTAAAACCCTTGGGAAGTATTGATATAAAGAGATCAAGGCAAGTGCCCAATCCAGCCTCTTCCTAACCCTGCCGAAGAAACCCTATTCTCTTTCTTCTACACTGTCGATGCTCCGTCGTGGTGAGCTTGGACACAACGGAGGAGAGGGTTTGTTTATTAAATGCTCTCTCTCTTTCAATCGCTCATCGTCTCTTCTTATTTCATGTCTTCTTCAATCGATTCCATTCTATTCTCTGCTCGTTCAGGGTGGTTTCAAACCCTAGGTCTCTTTTTCGCTCTGAATATCTCCTTAATACGCTTTGTTTCCTCCCTTTTTTATCTTCCTCCGTCTCATACGTCGAGGTCTCTGTGTTCTCGGTTTCGGTCTTGTGCAAAACATGAGGGATTCTAAGGTAATAGTTTTATTGACTTTTCTTTTCCATTACTCTAATTTTTTTTTTCTTTCGGTTCATCCTTGTGGTTATATTTTTCAATTGTTATTAATGCTCTCTTCTGCGCTTGTAAAGTTGGAAACTTGATCTGGTTAATGCTTTCATTATAAAGTGTTGCATGTATGGGACATAATGATGCCTATGTAATGAGCAATTGGAAATTTTTGTATTGGGGCGAGGTTTGGTGGAATGTAGTTGAATATAGTGCTTTGTTTCGAATATGAAGTGCTTTTTTTTGGCAAATCTTCCCTTTTTTGAAGTTAGGACTAGGGGGTTTAATTGGATGTCTTATACTTGATTAGTGAGGGAAACTGTTCCAAATAAGATTGGAAGGCACAAAGCAGAATTTTATAGGTGATTAGATGGGAGACAATGTTGGGTTTATGTAAATGAGGGTGCTTTTGTGCATCTTATGTTTTGTGAAAATTTGCATTCCTATTACCAGACAAGGGTTACCCCAGTTTATGCTGACACAATTGCGGGATATTATGTAGATATATCACCCCAAATTCAAGCTTATTAATTTTCCAGCTAGTTATTAATTGTGATAACATCTTAAATTGGTTCTTGGTGGATTTAATTTGTGTTGTCTGCTTTTTGTATGCGCTTATATGGTTGTATATCATTACTCAATGCGATTCATTAGGATGCTTGCTTCATTGTTGGTTTTCATCTTTTGCACTTCACATTTTCTTTTCTCCCTCGAAGGTACTAGTATTTGGATCATTCACTGAAGATGAAACCAGGTCATTGCTAAGTCAATCTGCTGGGGCTGCAGAAAAGCATTTGGGGAAGGAAAAATTGCAGTTTGGTTCATTGAATGTTGCTACTGGAAGATCTGTGGGCTCTAATAATGGTGCCGTGAGGAGGCAGCTTGGTTCTGCAGATGGTCCCATTAGTTTTGAATCATCAAATTTTATTCCAAAAGATGAGAACATTACAGAAAAATCTAAAGATTTTGTGCCAAACGTGTTGGAACATCCAAAGGAAAATGGATGTGTTGTGAAGTACAATGAGAACTCTATCCTCTGTAATGGGGTGAAAGATCTTGAAAAAGATGATGTTGACTTTAGTTCATTGCATATTTCTCATGATGAAGGTGGTCCCCTGCATCCGTCCCCAAGTTTGAAATTTCATGTCCTTGACAGTGAAATTTTGAAGAATAGGGATGGTTTAACAGCATGCACGTCCAAAAAGAATAGTGAGAAGGCTTTAAATGGGCCTGTTGCAGTTGTTAGAAACATAATTCCTCGAGGCTTGATCAACACAGGAAATTTATGTTTTCTCAATTCAACTCTGCAGGCTCTTTTGTCTTGTTCTCCATTTGTTCAGCTCTTACAGGATCTCAGACTTTGGACCATTCCCGAGGTCTGTAACATAGCTAACCAAAAAAGTAAACATTTTATGGATTTGAAGTGTTCTGTGTGAAGCTTGGACATACTTAATACTTTGTGTTATTTTGATTCATTAGGTTGGCTATCCGACTTTAACGGCTTTTGCAGAATTCATGTCTGATTTAGATGTATCTGGCAGTTCGAGCTTAATGAAGAAAGACTCAACTGTTTTGGAGATTGCTCGGCCGTCTAGCCCTTCTATGTTTGAGGGGGTTCTTAGAAATTTTACTCCAGATGTGCCAAATGGCATTTCAGGCAGGCCAAGGTTTGTGAGCTCTCTCTGCTGGTTATTAATTTTTGAACTTTCATCCTCAATTAGATTTTTGCCCTGCACGGATTGTTGTCCTAATGAGATCTTTAATTAATTATACAATTTTCATTTCAGTGAAAATCTTAATATGATATGTTTAGTTTGATATAGTTCATGAGAAAGTTAAATAGAATATGTAATTAACTTAGTTTTAGTATAAATTTTTAATTACAACGAGTCGATTTTTAATGAATTAATTTAGTTTAAGTAGAATTTTAAATTATTCAGTTAATATAAATTTTAATTTAGATAAATAATAAATTCTTTCAAAATATGTGATAATTAAAATTATTTAATTTTATCTAATTTTTATCTTAATTTGGATAAATTATAAATTATAATCAATTTATCTTACATGTAAGCAATGGGAAGTAAAGTTGTTTTGTTCATATGGATAAATTATGAATTCTAATCAAACTGTATCCTGTACCTAAATAAGATTTAAAATTGTAAATCAATGGTTAAAATTTTTTTGCAACATGGGTTAGTGTCGTATCTTCTATTAATTCTTTTTTGAAGTAAAAATAGTAATTTTCTAATAATTTTTTAATGGAGTGATATCTTTTTTTTGGATAAAAAGAATAAATATATTAATTATACAGCACCAAAGGGGTGCCACCCATGTACAAAATATTTACATTTCAGTTAGAACTTCGATGATATTTACATTTCAGTTAGAACCCGCTAAGGTCATGTCCCAGGATTAGAGACCCAAAAACATTAAACAACGTATCTCTAATTCTATTCATATCCCCATATACTCACCAAATGCACTATTTTTTATTGGTTATATGCGTGACTATCGTTTTGCAGCACATGTAACATAAGTAGATAGATCCAGTCCAAAAGTCGCTATATGCATCCGAGTCAATACACTGAATAAAACAACTCATCTCTCTTCAGCAACCTACTCCTTGAAGAAAAAGAAAATAGTATAACACGAATAGGTAGATGAAAGACGAAAATTACTATATGCATGCAAGTGAGTCCACCGACTGAATAGATAAAGTAATGTCATGTATTACATGAATTTTATTAATATTGAGTTAGATATAGAAGATGAAGGGGTACATATAGGCAGAGAGTTAGTTTTGTTCAATAAATAATATCAGTAATAGATAATAGATGATGATAGTGATTATATAGTTTTAATAAGATAGCCAATAAAATTTTTGATTAGATATTTTAAGTTTACTAAATCCTTATGTGGATAAGATTACAAATTTTGGGTACTATTTAAATTTGCAAAATTATTTCCAAATAATAGGAGTATTATAGCAGATGATAGATGATAATAACTATGATGTATCTTAATTAGATATTTTAATTTTAGTCCATTCCTAATTAGACAAGAGAAGACCTGATTCAGGCTGGTAATGCTGGGAAAGTGAAGAGAAGACCCCACTGTCTGGGGCTTTGGAAGAATGTTTTGCTTCAGTTGCCCCAATTCAGGGACTGCATCTGCTAGGATCTTGGTAGGGGTGACAGGATAAAGTTTTGGTTGAATGATTTGATTGATGGGGGAAGCCTTAATAATAGAGGCCCCAGTATTTTTGCAATTGTTCAAGATAGGAACATGGTAATCAAAGAGGCCTACAGAGTGGTTAATGACAATATTGAGTGATTGAACAATGTCAACAGAAATTTGAACAACTGGGAGATTGGGGAGTATATTGACCTGCTCCAGATTTTGGCTGCCCAACATATTAGTTCTGGTAAAGATCAAGTGAAATGGAAGCTGGAAAAAATTGGTGTCTTTACTGTCAAGTCCATGTACAACCATATTTTGAGTGAGGAGGGTAGTAGAGGCCTGAGATTCCCTGCTTCACAGATGTGGAAAACCAGGGGTTCCCTGAGAATTGCATTCTTTGGTTGGGAAGCTTGCAGGGAATGTATTCTCACCATTGATAAACTGAAAGTTAGAGGACAGGTGATGGTCAACAGATGTTTTTTGCTCTAGAATGCTGAGGAAACCTGTAATCACTTGCTGTTATGGTGTTCTGGGGCTTTTGAGATTTGGTCCATGATTTACGGTTTGATGGGGGTCAGCTGGGTAATTGCTGGTTCTGTTTTTGATTAGATATGGGCTTGGGAAGGTCTAGGCAGAAAAAGTAACTATGTCAAGATCATTCCTTTGTCTGTGATTTGGATCCTTTGGAAGGAAAGAAATTATAGAGCATTTGAGGGTATAAAAGCTGATCTGTATAGGTTAAAGGAAGAATGGATCCATTATTTTGGCCTTATTATGCTTGGCCATGACATGGCTAGTGATGTAGATTTTGGGAATGTCATCGACATGTTAACACACTTGTAAATCTTTTGTAAATGGGTGGTATCCCCTTCATTGATACCTTGTTAATATAATCTCTTACACTTTTTATTTCAAAAAAAAAAAAATCCTAATTAGATAAGATTAGAATTTTGAGTATTATTTAAAATTCTATCCTTATATCATGCACAAAGGTACCAAGGGGTACCACTCGAATTCTATCTTTATATGTTTAGAAAATTATTTCAAACAATAAGAATATTACATGTGGCAATTTGCTATTGTTGCTTTTATATATAAATAATTTATTATGTAAAAGAGAAACCCTTAATTAAAAATAATTCCTTAATTAATGAAGAATTGCATCGCATGTGGCTCTGTGGACATAATCATATTGTGGAACCACGCAAAATTCTGGATTTTCTCTCTTTTGAAGTTATTGGGGTGTTGTGCACAGCACTTAATATAATTAAAATGCGTATTCATCACTGTGCACTTATCTTTTTACTTAAATACCTGTTTTACAACATTATTTTTGCAGTACGCACCCAAAAACTATATTTTAAAAATCAGCAATTTTTTATTAGGTTTCTTGTAAGCACTTATGGTGTTCTTCTGGCCAAGCCAAAGAGCCTCAAAGTATATCAGTAATATGTTTTGGACATGTATTATTCTCTTGAGAATAGGAAAGAATGTATTTCTTATCATGTTCATGTTTGAATATAATATGCCATTCTTGCAATATATTGTTTTCCAATTATCATGAATATTTATAAAGTTTATTCTGAAAACTATTTCACCTCTTTCAGGCAGGAAGATGCTCAAGAATTTCTGAGTTTCATTATGGATCAAATGCATGATGAATTACTTAAGCTTGGAGGGCAGGCCACTAGCTGCAATGGAGTCAAATCATCTCTCGTGTCTTCTGCCGAAGATGATGAGTGGGAGACAGTTGGCCCAAAGAATAAGTCAGCAGTGACAAGAACACAAAGCCTCATTCCTTCAGTGCTAAGTGACATTTTTGGTGGACAATTGAGAAGTGTGGTGAAGGCAAGAGGTTGGCCCATGTTCCTATTTCTACTTCATACAGGACATATAACTCCATAAATTTTTTCTGCAGTGTCAGTTGCTTTAATTGGAAGATAGTTTACTTTTTGTTTCTACTCATGTCAGAATTTATAATGTGTATATTGACAATGGATTTTGCTTTTGTTTATTTACCTTTTTCTCCTGGGTATCTTCCTTTTTTGTTTTGAGAAAAAAAAATTTCAACTGTTTTTGTGATTCCATTCCATTTCTTTTGTCTGGATTAGGAAACAAAGCTTCTGCTACTGTTCAACCATTTCTACTGCTCCATCTTGATATTTATCATGAAGCTGTTTGTACTATTGAGGATGCTCTACGTTTGTTTTCTGCACCAGAAAATCTTGAGGGATATCGGACATCTGCCACTGGAAAGGTATTTAATATTTGCATTTCCTTTCACTTTAATCTTACTCATGTTACTTTTTAAAATAATATTTTGATATCGAGAAAATGATATATGAATCGTGGCTGGTTTGGAAGGTACTGGACATACTGATTTCTTGATAGGATTACTTGTGTAGTTGAAAAAATATCTCATGTACTATGATCCTGCTGGAGATCTTAGCTGATTTTATGTCTGGATTATCCAATGCATTCCTGAAAAAGTTGTACTCCACATTTAGTTATAATGCAACAATTATTGAACAATGATCTTGCTCTCTACTGTCCTAGTGGATAAGGAACAAACCTTACTCACTTGATGACAGTTTGTGGGTAGAGACTGCCTTGTTCAAGGTTATTATTGAATAAGGAAGAAGAGTAGAGAATTAGAAATTTGAAGGTTTAACATCAATTTATTGTTTCTTTTGACAGAGATTGTGATATAGAATGGGTTAATACTAGATTTCTTAAACAAATTAGAAATTATAATTATATTAAATGTAAACAACTATACTATTTAGAGTATTATTATATTATTTAGGAGTGCTATTATAGTTTTAGTAGCTTAGGATTTTATTCTGTTAGAGTAGGAGTTTATTCTTATTAGTATTTTTTCTATTTGTATGAGAATTAGTATTCTGAAGTCTACAAGATTACTGTTCCTTGTTTAATTTTAGTTAGGAAAAGTTATCTAGAGATTATTATAAGTAGCTATATAATGCACTTATTGATTATTTAAGTTATTCAGTAATATTTTGAGAATTCCTTGATTTTCTGGTTGCATGATGTAATCAAACATTTAAATGTGATGCTTATGACTTTCTAGATCTGATGTATAAGAAGCTTAGGTGTGATATTTAGGTTTTTTTTTTCCAAAACCCAAAAAAAAAAAAAAAAAAAAAAACCCTAAGTGGACAAATCAATCCTATTTGTCCTACATCAGATTGTATCAACTAATTGTATGTGCCATGCTTTGTTGAATGACTGTTGACCTACTTGAGAAATATTAATTGGAGTTGGGTACTTCTAACAAAGATAGGTCCCATAAATTCGGATATTGTTTTGCTTGTTTAGTGCAATTGAAGTAAGGAAATTGCTGGAATTCCTTATAATTCACGTGAATTTCCAATTTTTACTTAAAACTTCTGTTTTCTATAATTTGGTTAACTTCCAAATAAGATCTGATTACAACTCGTGTATTGTACTTCCTTTGTTCACTTCAAAAACCCATACCTCGTATTTTACCCATCAAACTCACAAACATAGGTTAAGTTTCCCATATGAGTTCTACATCCGAATTGGAGTAGAATTATGCATGAGTATGTGAATACTTACCTAAGGGTCATGGACATTAGTTACTTCTATTTCAAGTCTAGACAAGGATTCATTACAATTTGATATTTTTCAAGGAACTTAAGAATGACGTATACTCTGGCTGGTAAGTTACTGGTGCTTTGATCCAGATACCATTGTTTCCTGGCCTTAAGATCAAGTGTTTGTGAGTATAAGTGGTGTATTTTTATCCGTTGAATATTGATGTATTTTTAATGCCATGCAGGCTGGTGTAGTGAATGCCAGAAAATCCATTAAGATACAGAAGCTCTCAAAGATAATGATACTGCATCTTATGCGTTTCGGTTATGGAAGTCAAGGAAGTACAAAGCTGCATAAGCCGGTGCGCTTTCCTCTTGAATTAGTGCTGGGTCGGGAACTGCTTGTTTCCCCATCTAATGAGGTATAGTCCTTTACATCGTTTTAATGCCAGATAGTGAATTGATTTATTGTTTTATGGTTCTTTAGAAAAAAAGTATTTAGTTGAGTAAATTAATCTTCAAGTTCACCTTTTTGAGGCTTTGCAAAAATGCAATTACTTATGCTTCTAAAAGCAAACCTACCCATGTAGATTAAATCGACTGGGACTTGGTTCACATTTTGCTCAATAGTCATTCCCATTCTAACTAGTTTCGTAAATTTATTTTTTGTTTTAGTTTTGACACGTAAACATGATTTACATCTTTGAGCTAACTTACCCTCTTTTGAAATACTTGGGATTTATATTTCCAGTTGCTAATCTGAGAGATAGGATTTTATTTCAATGAGAGGTAGGAATGGGAATTCTACGTTTACTTCCAAGGATTTCAAGGTTGGTTGTAGTTATCAAATATAAAATCAAGCCAGATAAATATTAAGCATAGGAATCAGTAACAGAACTAGAATTGAGTGAAATGGGGAAGGAGAGAAATCAATAATTAATTAGGACGTAATATACTTTTATGGAACCTGTGGCAAGTAGTTAGTACTTTTATCAAGTGTGTAGAGGTTAGGATAATATTTGCTCTAGTTTTTAAAATATCATTTCTTGAACAAGTTTGAGTATTTGTCATTATATGGTAGATAAAAGGCACTGAGCAAAAGCGAGATTTGGATGGCTGATAGGTTTCCCATCTCTTTTATTGGTGCAGGGTCGAAAATATGAGCTTGTAGCCACCATAACCCACCATGGTAGAGAACCCTCAAAGGGACATTATACAGCAGATGCTCGTCATCACAGCGGACAGTGGCTACGATTTGATGATGCATCTGTCACTGCTATTGGAACGAACAAGGTGCTGCATGACCAAGCATATGTCCTTTTTTACAAACAAATATAGATGGCAAAGAAGCTAGCTTTTAATTTTATCCATTTGAAAGAAAAAATTCTGTTTGCGTGTATTTTAATTGGCTTTTAGTATACTGGGATAGTGGTTCTGATGCTCATCTAATGAAAAACCTTAACACTAAGGAGTTGACAAGGTGTGACTATCTGATTTCTAAACTCTTCATGCTTGATTTGTGAGGATTACATAATTTATGGGTTAGTTTGTATTTGGTCTTTTGACTGGTTACTCAATCATGGGATGTTTGTTTCCGAGCAATTGGACGATTACGTTGGACGATTATGTTGGACCATGTTTATAATGAGTTCAGCATTTGTTGGAAGAATTACAATAGTAAAGTTGTGCCACATGTTTTTTTAAGGGAATGAGATGTTTTGCAGAGTTTCTTTAGTTATGGTTATAATAAGTTTCTTTAGTTATGGTAATTATAACGAACAAAAATATTTTATTTAGATTTGTTATTAGTTAAAAAAGAAAAACATTATGCAATGACTAAAACTCTCTAGTTTGAATAGTTACAATGAGGTACTGTTTTAGTTGGTGAATTGGAGAATTCATAAATGCAAAATCATATGTCTGATGTGCTTCCATTCGTTGGAAATCAGTACATGAAGCCATCCAACTTTCTGACTCAAGTGTAAACTGTATGATGAAATCACCTTCAAGTACTACCAGAACATGCCAGATCAATTTGGAAAAAGATGTCAATATATGAGCAGAATATTGTAGGCAAGTTTTGCATATAAACAAATGCATAAGATAATTTGTTAACTAGCTTATAGACTAATTGCAGAGTGTAATAAATTTTTTTGTAATCCATAATATAAGTTTCTTATTGTCATAATGCTATGTATGGACAGGTAATTTGGATGATAGATTTTGCAGTGCTTGTTCTCTATAGATTATGCTGTAATGGATTTGTCTAGCACATACAAGTATACAACATTCATACCATAGAAATGGATACTACAAAATTGTTCATGAACAGGTAGTTCATACGATTCAAGTTCTCCAGTAGTATAGCAGGCTTCCGCCAAGTTGGCTATCTTCTTTCTCCACCGGAAAGTGAGCATTCAAATCATTATTCAGCTTTTATATCCATCAACGGCAAACAAGTTCTTCGATAGTTAATCACCCCAAACCAACTGGAAAATCTTCTTACTAGCAGTTGAACTCACCAAACCGTTGCTCTGTTTCCATAGCATTTCGTCTTGCGCAGAAACGTCGCCCTCCTTTTCAATACAAAAGAGAGATTTATAAAACTATCAGAGTAAACGCTGGTACAAAGTAGTTGCCAAGGCTCAAGCACCAAAAACATAAATAGACTAACATGCACGACTAAAAAGTACATTCTCCTTGGACCTTTTCGAAGAGTGAGCATTCTGAAACTAGCAGGAGGATTCATAATTGACGCCAAAACCTGCGCTTGAAAGTTTCGTCATGCACATACATGCAATATGCCCGCACGCAAGGAAAATATCCACTTTGCCATTCCCAAATACTAGAACTTAGGATATGGTAATAATTGGGTCCAAAGACTGGTTTTTTGTCAGAATTTTATCCCTAAATTTATAAGACTACTTCAATATATCAATTTTGTTTATAAAATTTTTTTTATAGAAGCAGTGGAAACTCTTTTCGTCTTCTTTAGTTAACACAAAAATGAGTTAAAATGTATTTATTAAACAAAAATTACAATAAAACAAAATGGGTCTTGCAGACATTCTCTTCTTTCCAACCTTCTGGTATTATAATCTGCATGACTTTGAAAAGAAGTTATTGATGTTCCTTATTTCTTTATTAAAGTTAATTTCCTAGTCTTATAACTTTCAAACTCCATAAAAAATACAAAACAAAATAGAGGCAAAATATAAACAACTTCTTGTCACAAGATTCGGATTAGAAAACAAAAATCATCTGTTCAAGATGCAAATTATAACAAAAGAAAATTTTGGGATCCAATGGACCTCATTTGATCCCTAATATTTACGGCATTTTAAGAAGATTGACTGTCATAAGGCCTTCTACAACTAGAACCTCAACAATAATTTTTAATATCTAGATTGAAAGGGCATGAGCTTACGCAAGGTGCAAAAATAACACAAGCATTGAGTTATATTAAGCAAGGGGATGATTGAAAAACGAAAATGTTTTTTCAGTATCTGGAACTCTATTAGGCCTATCTTTTTAAAATCAGAACTTTCACACATTTTGCACAATTAACATGATACTCGATGCATGATAAAGAACAGATTGTACATTTAAATGTTTTAATAGCGCTACATGACCCGAAGCAAGATCACATTTTGAGCATGTTCCAACTTAGCATTGCAAAGGGAAATAGGTTTTTTTAAAACGATTTGTCTCTAATTTCCATTGTTTAAGCATTAACAAAGTTCATAGTCCAGAAAAGAAGCAAGCACTTACAAGAAGAGAGTAAGCACAGGCAAGAGATGATAGTGTTGGGTACATATTCAAAACAGCTATGGCAATATCCTCCGTTACTTGCGGAACCTGCATAATAAATAAGTTCTGAAATATATTAAAAAGAACAATTATCTTCTTGGGGATATAAACAGTAGCATCCAGAGCATACAGGAAATACTCTACTTCCAGGGGCAAATAGATTTAGCTAATGCATGCCTGCCAACTATTAAAAAGGACCACGAAGAGACAAATTGCAATTCACTAAAATGTTTTAAAAGCACAATGATTTAACTAGTAACCTCTATACTTCTCCAAAACAGTAGTGACCTTTATTATATAGACAGATTAAAATGATAACATTTCATGATTAGCAAGGAATCTTCTCTTAAGGAACATAGTTAATACCTGCATAAGCTGAACAGCAAAAACATCACTCACTGTCACTTTATCCAGATCATGGCACCGTCTGATGAATTCATCAAAGAGGGGAGAGACCCCTATGCTCTTTGGTTGGTCCTCAAGTAGGTGGGATCTGTAGTATTGAGTTATTGCCTGAGTAAGAAAGCCATACTTCCTTAAGGTATCACCCAAACCACTAGTTCTCTGCACATCAAATCCCTCCAAAATCTCCGTTGTAAGGCAACTGCACATGATTTTATACACAACAGGCTGTTAGGTCCTAGATTGGATCTTGTACGGGTTTGCTGGGGAAGAGGGTAAGGGCTCACTAACAAAGAACCCTTAAATTTCTAAACAACAAGGGCAATTTAAGAGAGAACTCTTAGATCTTTGAAGTCTCAAAATTAGTATTTCTCCGACCCTTTGTTTCTCCATTTAACACCTTACAAAGGACATGAAAGATTAAGCTATTACTAAATATCAAAATCAAATTTCAGCTGTCAGAGTGAATGCCAACAACTAAATAAATTATGCAATTGCATCCCACTAGCTATGGTTAGAATTCTCTTCAAGAGAAGGAAACTTTAAACTAGATCTTGGCATAATTACAATTTTTTTAATTTAAGCATAATTACAAAACATAGGACAATTGGAAGGACAAGAAATGTCATCCTTATCATCAAAATAACAGCAATTAAAATGTCCATATAAAAATTACCACAGCAAAACATCTAACTAGTTTATGCAATCAAAGTATCATCTAATGAAAAAATGTATATGACTATAGAAGTTATAGAAAAACGCTTACGCTGTTTTAATGCTTTCAGCAGCATCAGAAGAATTTGGGTCGCCTTCAACAATATATATCAGCTTCTTAAGTCCAGATCTCTTACAGAATGCAATTTTGGAGAAACATGAAATCAAAGAAAAGAAGTCAAAGCAAGTTATTAAATTAGAAATATTGTAACATTCAATTTTACTATTATGTATACATTATGTATAAAGAGAAAGAAGAGTTAAAAGGTTAACAATAATTTTTCACTCAGAGTAAAGCTGCTACTGCTGCATTTTGAACAATAAACCTCAGAATGAGACCAATAAGTAAACACCACTGAACTAAATATCATGTGTGATTTAGAAAGTTAACAGTTAGCTAATTAGGGGTTTGCATCTGCCTAGAATCATGTCTCGTGCCTAAAAAAATGCAAAATCTTCAGAACGAAAAAAGATAACATGGAATCTGCTAACAGGGCTTTTAGGCAACTAATAATGTCTGACCCTCGGTTGAAATACTTAGGATAAAGTCTAAGTCAAAGGCTTCTTCCAGCTGTATTGTCTAACTAACCAAAAATAAACTAAAAAATAAAAGAACGTATTTACCTGTAATTTCTAAACATGAAAACTCAAATCCATGGTATTGCAAAAATTCTTCTTTTAAAAAAAGTCCAAAAATGACCATAAAATATTGAGTCATTTGAATAAGAATGAATACCAGCAATCTCAGTTTCTGATCCCTATAGCGGTTATCTCTGATTGATGAGCGCAAGTCATCAACTCTCTTCCTCTCAACAATAAAATCTAACACGTACTCTGAGTGAAGATATTTATGGCGAGCTATCCAGATTCCATCACCGACAGGTAGCCGCCTAACCTGTTGAGTGAATACGAAGAACTATCCATTTCAAAAGAATGTATGACAACTAAGGAATAAATCATTTATAAGTGCCGATCTAAGCACATACATTCTACAACATAGCCATGTAAGTATTGCTGTCTGGAACAAGAGCTCACCATTACTTTTATTTTGAATTCAGAGGAAATGTTTTCAACAATTCTCCTTGACCGTGACCTATAAGTTAGAAAAAGTATTAATATTCACACAGTTGTAGCACCAGACAAGAACCAGTAAGACAATGCAGTAATTATGAGACATAACGCAGATAGAATACCAAATGATCAGCAAAATGCAAACAAAAAACTTAAAAGAGAAGAAACTTTGGTTGTAGACAGTTAAATAACAGAAAGAAAATAAAAAGGAAAAAATGAAATTCATTAAAGAGCATCAAGGGGGTGCAACCCCAATAGAAAAGATAGACAACAGAAACATTAGTCTCTAACCTCGCTATCAGAGACAAAATGAACAAAAAACTTCCCAATCAAGTGAAGGAGACAACACTATACCATTAATAAGAGATGTTGGAAAGCAACAGCATATGATATATCACATAACAGTAACAGATGTAATCTGGAGATAATTCCAATTAGTTTTCTGGGATCTGATCACAGGCCTTCCAATTAGTTGGTGCAGCACCAACTACCATCCCCCCCCCCCTCCAAAAACAAACAGAAAAAACTTTGAAGTCTATAAACAATTTATTAAATGACTTGTATTTAAAAAAAACAATTTATTAAATGACTTTTATTTAAAAAAAAAAACAATTTATTAAATAACTAAATTAGTTGCAATATCCAGCAAAAAAATTGGCAAAAGACCAATAAGCATCAGCAATGAAAACCATGGGGAAATTCATATTTCTAGAAACAATTTACTGACTCATCTACAAGAGATAGAATATAGAATTCTCTTAATAAGCAAACAGAAATATTCCTTGTTTGATGCAGATTCCATGACTTAATAGACAAGCAAAAATACAAAAACTAATTTGAAAAAGAAAAGAAATACCCTCAATTTGCTTTGCCAATGTTTGAGCTCGGCAACTAACAAAGCTATAAGCAGAAGTTACTAACCCCTGAGTGGCAAATTGT